TTCATTATTGTTGTCAATGTGTAGGCCCTGTACCCGTGAAGATTCCGGGATAGAATAGGTCTTCAGCAACCCATGCTTGCCGTGAAAGGTGACTATGCTTGTCGTAAAAGGCGACTAACGGGATCGAGTGGTCTGGCTCGCTGTATTGGTTGATGCATGTCATCGATCCCAATTGCGTGGATCGATGATCATGATATTAATCACTGGATTGTCTGGTCCAGACTCGATTATTTACAGACCGCCGTCATATAGCTGGAATATTGCTGAGTGCGGTGTTAAACAAGAAACCAAACCAAAAAAACCCCAGCTTCAACCGTCAGTGCGCTGTAGACCCTATACCCAATGAGGTGAGGTGAGGTGAGGTGAAATGGGGTTTAACATCACGTCCAAGATTATTGCACTTATATAGCGACGTGCATGTACATGTGTGTGTTTGTGTGGCTGCTTGTACTAGTCCTGACTGATGCCGATTTATAGTGCTAGCTCACTGAGATACCATGCCGCAGTTTAACATGAATACCCCACTCAGACACAGTATACTGACTCCGAGCCGACCAGTCCTTGTTTTAGCCCCTTAATGCCGAGCGCCAGACAGGGTCACAACAAGTACCATCTTTTAACGTCTTTTGGTATGACGCGGCTGGGGTCCGAACCCCGGACCTTCCGCTCTCCGGGCGGACGCTCTACCACTAGACCACGGAGGCGGCCCTATACCCAATGACATCTGTAACGATCCTCCTTCCCCTTTTTCTGTACAGTTACCTGTCTCCCTCCCCTCCCCACTGACGTCAGTAACAGCCCTCCCCCCTTTCTGTTCAGCTACCTGTCTCCCTCCCCTCCCCACTGACGTCTGTAACAACCCTCCCCCCCCCTCTGTATAGTTACCTGTCTCCCTCCCCACTGACGTCTGTAACAACCCTCCCCCCTCTCTGTACAGCTACCTGTCTCCCTCCCCACTGACGTCTGTTACAACCCTCCCCCCTGTCTGTACAGCTACCTGTCTCCCTCCCCCCCCCAACTGACGTCTGTAACAGCCCTCCCCCCTGTCTGTACAGCTAACTGTCTCCCTCCCCACTGACGTCTGTAACAACTCTCCCCCTCTCTGTATAGCTACCTGTCTCCCTCCCCACTGACGTCTGTAACAGCCCTCCCCCCTGTCTGTACAGCTACCTGTCTCCCTCCCCACTGACGTCTGTAACAACCCTCCCCCCTCTCTGTAAAGTTACCTGTCTCCCTCCCCATTGACTTCTGTAACAGCCATCCCCCTCTCTGTAAAGTTACCTGTCTCCCTCCCCACTGACGTCTGTAACAGCCCTCCCCCTCTCTGTACAGCTACCTGTCTCCCTCCCCTCTCCCCACTGACGTCAGTTACAACCCTCTCCCCTCTCTGTAAAGTTACCTGTCTCCCTCCCCACTGACGTCTGTAACAGCCCTCCCCCCTCTCTGTAAAGTTACCTGTCTCCCTCCCCACTGACGTCTGTAACAGCCCTCCCCCCTCTCTGTAAAGTTACCTGTCTCCCTCCCCACTGACTTCTGTAACAGCCCTCCCCCTCTCTGTACAGCTACCTGTCTCCCTCCCCTCTCCCCACTGACGTCAGTTACAACCCTCTCCCCTCTCTGTACAGTTACCTGTCTCCCTCCCCACTGACTTCTGTAACAGCCCTCCCCCCTCTCTGTACAGTTACCTGTCTCCCTCCCCACTGACGTCTGTAACAGCCCTCCCCCCTCTCTGTAAAGTGACCTGTCTCCCTCCCCACTGACTTCTGTAACAGCCCTCCCCCTCTCTGTACAGCTACCTGTCTCCCTCCCCTCTCCCCACTGACGTCAGTTACAACCCTCTCCCCTCTCTGTAAAGTTACCTGTCTCCCTCCCCACTGACGTCTGTAACAGCCCTCCCCCCTCTCTGTACAGTTACCTGTCTTCATCACCTCCCCTCTGACGTCTGTAACAACCCTCCCCCCTTTCTGTACAGTTACCTGTCTCCCTCCCCTCCCCACTGACTTCTGTAACAGCCCTCCCCCTCTCTGTAAAGTTACCTGTCTCCCTCCCCACTGACTTCTGTAACAACCCTCCCCCTTCTCTGTACAGTTACCTGTCTTCATCACCTCCCCTCTGACGTCTGTAACAGCCCTCCCCCTCTCTGTAAAGTTACCTGTCTCCCTCCCCACTGACTTCTGTAACAGCCCTCCCCCCTCTCTGTACAGTTACCTGTCTCCCTCCCCACTGACGTCTGTAACAACCCTCCCCCCTCTCTGTAAAGTTACCTGTCTCCCTCCCCACTGACTTCTGTAACAGCCCTCCCCCTCTCTGTAAAGTTACCTGTCTCCCTCCCCACTGACGTCTGTAACAACCCTCCCCCCTCTCTGTACAGTTACCTGTCTCCCTCCCCACTGACTTCTGTAACAGCCCTCCCCCCTCTCTGTACAGTTACCTGTCTTCATCACCTCCCCACTGACTTCTGTAACAGCCCTCCCCCCTCTCTGTACAGTTACCTGTCTTCATCACCTCCCCACTGACTTCTGTAACAGCCCTCCCCCTCTCTGTAAAGTTACCTGTCTCCCTCCCCACTGACGTCTGTAACAACCCTCCCCCCTCTCTGTACAGTTACCTGTCTCCCTCCCCACTGACTTCTGTAACAGCCCTCCCCCCTCTCTGTACAGCTACCTGTCTCCCTCCCCACTGACGTCTGTAACAGCCCTCCCCCCTCTCTGTACAGTTACCTGTCTCCCTCCCCACTGACGTCTGTAACAGCCCTCCCCCCTCTCTGTACAGTTACCTGTCTCCCTCCCCACTGACGTCTGTAACAGCCCTCCCCCCTCTCTGTACAGTTACCTGTCTCCCTCCCCACTGACGTCTGTAACAGCCCTCCCCCCTCTCTGTACAGTTACCTGTCTTCATCACCTCCCCACTGACGTCTGTAACAGCCCTCCCCCCTCTCTGTAAAGTTACCTGTCTCCCTCCCCACTGACTTCTGTAACAGCCCTCCCCCTCTCTGTACAGCTACCTGTCTCCCTCCCCTCTCCCCACTGACGTCAGTTACAACCCTCTCCCCTCTCTGTAAAGTTACCTGTCTCCCTCCCCACTGACGTCTGTAACAGCCCTCCCCCCTCTCTGTAAAGTTACCTGTCTCCCTCCCCACTGACGTCTGTAACAGCCCTCCCCCCTCTCTGTAAAGTTACCTGTCTCCCTCCCCACTGACTTCTGTAACAGCCCTCCCCCTCTCTGTACAGCTACCTGTCTCCCTCCCCTCTCCCCACTGACGTCAGTTACAACCCTCTCCCCTCTCTGTACAGTTACCTGTCTCCCTCCCCACTGACTTCTGTAACAGCCCTCCCCCCTCTCTGTACAGTTACCTGTCTCCCTCCCCACTGACGTCTGTAACAGCCCTCCCCCCTCTCTGTAAAGTTACCTGTCTCCCTCCCCACTGACTTCTGTAACAGCCCTCCCCCTCTCTGTACAGCTACCTGTCTCCCTCCCCTCTCCCCACTGACGTCAGTTACAACCCTCTCCCCTCTCTGTAAAGTTACCTGTCTCCCTCCCCACTGACGTCTGTAACAGCCCTCCCCCCTCTCTGTACAGTTACCTGTCTTCATCACCTCCCCTCTGACGTCTGTAACAACCCTCCCCCCTTTCTGTACAGTTACCTGTCTCCCTCCCCTCCCCACTGACTTCTGTAACAGCCCTCCCCCTCTCTGTAAAGTTACCTGTCTCCCTCCCCACTGACTTCTGTAACAACCCTCCCCCCTCTCTGTACAGTTACCTGTCTTCATCACCTCCCCTCTGACGTCTGTAACAGCCCTCCCCCTCTCTGTAAAGTTACCTGTCTCCCTCCCCACTGACTTCTGTAACAGCCCTCCCCCCTCTCTGTACAGTTACCTGTCTCCCTCCCCACTGACGTCTGTAACAACCCTCCCCCCTCTCTGTAAAGTTACCTGTCTCCCTCCCCACTGACGTCTGTAACAACCCTCCCCCCTCTCTGTACAGTTACCTGTCTCCCTCCCCACTGACTTCTGTAACAGCCCTCCCCCCTCTCTGTACAGTTACCTGTCTTCATCACCTCCCCACTGACTTCTGTAACAGCCCTCCCCCCTCTCTGTACAGTTACCTGTCTTCATCACCTCCCCACTAACTTCTGTAACAGCCCTCCCCCTCTCTGTAAAGTTACCTGTCTCCCTCCCCACTGACTTCTGTAACAGCCCTCCCCCCTCTCTGTACAGTTACCTGTCTCCCTCCCCACTGACGTCTGTAACAGCCCTCCCCCTCTCTGTACAGTTACCTGTCTCCCTCCCCACTGACTTCTGTAACAACCCTCCCCCCTCTCTGTACAGTTACCTGTCTCCCTCCCCACTGACTTCTGTAACAACCCTCCCCCCTCTCTGTACAGTTACCTGTCTCCCTCCCCTCTGACTTCTGTAACAGCCCTCCCCCCTCTCTGTACAGTTACCTGTCTCCCTCCCCTCTGACGTCTGTAACAGCCCTCCCCCCTCTCTGTAAAGTTACCTGTCTCCCTCCCCACTGACGTCTGTAACAGCCCTCCCCCCTCTATGTACAGTTACCTGTCTCCCTCCCCACTGACTTCTGTAACAACCCTCCCCCCTCTCTGTACAGTTATCTCTCTTCATCACCACTTACGTCTGTAACAACCCTCTCCCCTTTCTGTACAGCTACCTAATCCCCCACCTCTCCCCACTGACGTCTGTAACGACTCTCCCTCCTTCCTTGTTCACCCCTGTGACTTTGTCCCACAGTATTGACGTTTGCCGTTCCACCATTGGTCTCTAACTATTTGTCGTCTGCTCTCACAGCATCCATAGAATCACGATGTTTGTTTTTCTCAGTCTTTAGCTACTTCTTTCGCAGGACTGCAAATAGCAGCTGAACAGTGTCAGAGAGCCAATATCTCAACTCTGTGGCCAGTGGATGTACCCACACTCCAACACTCAGTCTTCACGGGGTGGTCACAAACTGGTTTTTACACTTGGGCTGTGTTTTGCTTCCAGGTAATTAACTGTGGACGTGAACCTGACGGGGCCATCAGCAAAGGTTGAAGTTGCTCGGAACAGCGTGGTAGTAGAGGCGGGAAGGATACCGTGTGTGGATGTGAAGGAGGGTGCTGCCGCTGCCGCTGAGTGACAGTCGCGCTGCTACTGTAGGGGTCGTCAGGAACGTGGATAGCATCGCTGACAGACAGTTGTGGACAACAGTAGACCAATAGACAGGATTAGACATGGCGGTCCACACGGGAATTGTGTGTCTGTGGCTGTTGACAGGTAACCTTGGAATACTTGTTTCTTTACAACTAAACATTCACTTCATGATTTATTTTTTATATTTGTCTCCTTGTTTTAAGGATATTTTCATGAATATTTTCAATATTTCGTGTTAAATTTATATATTTAACTTTGAATTTTTTTTACATGTTCTGATGTATATTTTCTCTTGGAAACAAAATATATATTTTTCTTTTCTTGTATCAAATTTGTTTCTTCCTATTTCATGTTTCATTTGAACAATAATTTCACGCATGCTGCAAGACGTCCTGAAACAATTCTTTTGAAAGTATTGGTGATGAAAGTGAGAGTTAATCATTTGAATTACACATTAAAAAGACAACGGTGCTCTGATTTTAGATTGGGCGATGTATGTACATGTGACTTCTTTTTATTCAAATTCTATGTTCTGTTTACTTGTCCTTTACGCAAGTTCTAAATCACCGTCAGGACTCCGACAAATGGAAACATCTGTCTCTGCCTCCCAGCTTCATTGTTCATAACTAAACACAGAAAAATTATTTTTGGGGGAAAAAAGGTGGAAACTATTCGGTGTCTCTGACAACAAGCTATTTTAGGTTCAAGTGGTTTTTTCCTGCTTTGAGTTGTTTTGATATAACATAAAAGAAAGAAACACAATCTAAGATAATATTTACCACAAGAGGAATTACAAGCATTGTTAAACACTGGCTTGTATAGGAAATCACTGCTGATGTTTGCTACACCTCCATTTTGTCACCTTCTGTGACATTTACTCACAAACTCCGTGGTCATAATGGACCATTGTTGGGCGGAGGAGGTCCCCTATACAATCGAACATCGCTACAATTTCCTGTTTGACGACGTTATGCATACCTACAACGTTGTGCTTTCTTGACACGGACATTGTTAGTTTTATGTTGTAATAATTTGAAATGTGATACAGTGAATGTCAGGATTATGACTCCAAACATTGATCGTGTGTTGTAAATATTTCTCTGAAATTCTAGATTATTTTTTACAGATTTTCATCATTTTTTTAATGTACTCTAGGCAATAGAAATTTGAGGTATTTCAGTATGGATCATGTGAAATGTAGATTATTGTTTGAACAATTTTATACAACATTTTAATTATATGTTATTTTTAAACCTTATCCATGAGTACTGGATATTAGCTATTTAAAAATAACAGTAAAGTTATTGCTCTTGACAGATGGTAAAATTGCTCTAAATATCACGGGACCGTGGGGTAGGCTCATAGTAAAAGCATTCACTCAGATGGGTTCTATTCCCCAACATAGGTACATTCTGGTGTCTTGCAGTAATATTGCTGGAATATTGCTGAAAGCAATGTGAAAAAAAGGCTGGGCGAGTCTAAAATTTACTACCCGGGTACCTGACCCCCTATACTCTTACCTTAACTGGGAACCCGCTGTATGTCTTAAGATTTTGGTACAAATTGTCCTTTTGGAAACTGTTAACTGTTTTACCGATGAAGGAATAAGCATATCCTCCGAAACATTGTGTTCCTCATTAAAAAAAAGTTGACATCCTTAAATTTTCTTCCTTATGTGTATCACTTCTAAATGCCATTCAAAGACCTGTTTTACTGAAGCCCTGCAAAAAAACATTCAGTTAGATGTATAAAACGATCTCATCATGCATACACTGAAGTTGACTGAAGCTTTATCTTTACTCAAACATAAAAGTCAAAGGGAATGCATTCATAGTAAGAAAGAAATGCAAACATAAGTCACTCATAGTGTAGGGGCGGTTGAGTGGTTAGAGCGTTCGATCGTCACGCCGAAGACCCGGGTTCGATTGCCGACAGGGGTACAATGTGTGAAGCCCATCTCTGGTGTCCCCGGCCGTATTCCTGTGGGTCCCCGGGTCCTACTTATGACCCACCCTACCCGAGTTACCCGTCCCAGCCCATATGTAAAATCATACTACCTCCATCACAAGATTGAGTTTCCTGAAGGAAATCATTGTACATTTTCCTTCATTTTGTATTAAATAGGATAAGTACAAATATATATGTACATATGTTTTTGAAAACATACCCTGTTGTATGCAGTGGAGATGCATTTTTGTGTATTTAAGAAATAAACGACTCGTGGGAGTTGTTTATCATACAATAAAACACTGCAGGGAGAATAAACCATGAGGGGCCATGTCAATATTACGTACAGCCTCTTTGAGGATGTTAATAAAAAGTACAGCTTATAAAATATTTACCCATATATAAATAATGATGACTCCCGGAACAGAATCCGACCGCGGCAATGTCGGACAAGTCCATTTTATGCACAGGTGGGTATTTCCTGCATATTCTCACAATCCTCACGTCAATTACGTGTACCTTTTCTCCCAATACCGATTGTCATGTCTGCCCAGCTAAAATGTCAGACACGCATGTATGTACAGTGACAATGAGACACTATTACTGAGACATGACTGGTATTGCTAGTGATTATCTAATAATGAACATCACACGGAATGATACATGAGTAGTTGTCTGCTAGATAGTCTTGATATGTAAGTAGTTGTTGGCCAGATAGTCTTGATATGAGAGTAGTTTTTGGCCAGATAGCCTTGATATATAAGTAGTTGTTGGCCAAATGGTCTTGATATGTAAGTAGTTGTTAGTGAGATAGTCTTGATATGTAAGTAGTTGTTGGCAAGATAGTCTTTTTATGTAAGTAGTTGTCTGCAAGATAGTCTTGATATGCAAGTAGATTTTAGCCAGATAGTCTTGATATGTAAGTAGTTGTTGGCCAGATAGTCTTGATATGTAAGTAGTTGTTGGCCTGGTAGTCTTGATAGAGAGAATAAACCATGAGTGTCAAAGCCCTGAGTGGTTTATTCTCCTTGCAGTGTTTTATTGTACGATAAACAATGAACACAAGTCATTTATTTCTTATATGAGATATCAACATTATGTACAGCCTCTTTTAGGATGATGATAAAATACCGATTGTCATATCTCTCCTGCCTTTTGGATTTGATTGTTCGACCATCGCCTTTATCTGCGCTACCTAGCTACATCTATGGGGAAAAACTCACTAGACACTCCCGTCTTACATAGTTGAACCTTTGTGCAGGTTTCTCAAACATTTAGGTATTGGTGATCACCTTTTTAAGCTTATTGTAGGTCATGGTCAAGGATATGTCTTATTAAAAGTCTAAGTCCTCCAGTAATCTGTGCTTGTTAAAAGAGGCAACTTGATGGCTAAGGTGATCAGGCACGGCATCTTGGTTCATTGTGTGTCATTGTACCCCAACGGTGTGGAACGTTCATCGCAGTCACTGGTTTGTCTGGTCCAGACTTGATTATTTACAAGCCAGTGTCATATAGCTGGAATACTTTAAGCAATGGATCACTGGTTTATCTGGTCCAGACTTGATTATTTACAAGCCAGTGCCATATAGCTGGGATACTGTACACAATGGATCATTGCTGACAATGTCAATCACTGGTTTGTCTGGTCCAGACTTGATTATTTACAAGCCAGTGTCATATAGCTGGAATACTGTATGCAATGGATCATTGCTCACAATGTCAATCACTGGTTTGTCTGGTCCAGACTTGATTATTAACAGGCTGATGTAAAAACACTAGAATATTGCTGTGTAAGGGGTTTAGGAACAAACAAGTTCTACAATGTAATGGCCACCCACTGTCCTTGTGGACTGCTGGAGGTCTCTGTTACGTAAAAGAGGATGACAGATGCTTAGTCTGACATCTGCCAGACACTGTGGGCGTTTCCAGTGTTGACTGTAGTTTTACACAACAACAAGACCAGTTGATACAGACCAGACATCTGTATGTAGTTGGGTTTATGACTTTCTAGTGTGTTTGTGACAATGTCTGATATATGTTATATCAGAATACTCAGAGGATGATATGTGTCAGCCATGTTATATCAGAATACTCAGAGGATGATATGTGTCAACCATGTTATATCAGAATACTCAGAGGATGATATGTGTCAACCATGTTATATCAGAATACTCAGAGGATGATGTATGTCAGCCATGTTATATCAGAATACTCAGAGGATGATATGTGTCAACCATGTTATATCAGAATACTCAGAGGATGATATGTGTCAACCATGTTATATCAGAATACTCAGAGGATGATGTATGTCAGCCATGTTATATCAGAATACTCAGAGGATGATATGTGTCAACCATGTTATATCAGAATACTCAGAGGATGATATGTGTCAACCATGTTATATCAGAATACTCAGAGGATGATATGTGTCAACCATGTTATATCAGAATACTCAGAGGATGATGTATGTCAGCCATACGTTATATCAGAATACTCAGAGGATGATATGTGTCAACCATGTTATATCAGAATACTCAGAGGATGATATGTGTCAACCATGTTATATCAGAGTATTCAGAAGATGATGTATGTCAGCCATGTTATATCAGAATACTCAGAGGATGATGTATGTCAGCCATGTTATATCAGAATACTCAGAGGATGATATGTGTCAACCATGTTATATCAGAATACTCAGAAGATGATATATGTCAGCCATACGTTATATCAGAATACTCAGAGGATGATATGTGTCAACCATGTTATATCAGAATACTCAGAGGATGATATATGTCAGCCTTACGTTATATCAGAATACTCAGAGGATGATATATGTCAGCCTTACGTTATATCAGAATACTCAGAGGATGTTATATGTCAACCATGACAAATCCAACTCAAATCTAGAATGATTTGAAAAGTCTACATTGCCTCCAGAATCCAACATTGTTCTGGGCTCAATTTGGATTTTACTTTTTATTTAGTAGATATATATATTTTCAAATGAGAAAATGCTATTACTGGGATTAAATGTTAGTCTAAGAGAACTTGAACAAAGAACATTCTGCGTTGACTGAATTTGCAACATATTGGGAAACAGAATCAAGTATTTGAAATGTCTGTGTGATATAACCCCATTCCAAAGTACCGACACTCCAGCTTTTAAACTGGAAATT